CCCTTGAAATCGCCCCGAGTGACGATATCAGCTGTGCCTTAAAAGATCTATTCAGCCAAATTTCTTCGGCGTCGAAGTGAAAGAGAATGGCGAGCTCAAATCAGCTACTGTGATAGCGTTGGCATTCCGAGCTGGAAAGCATCGCTCTTGGACAACTGAAATGGTAAAAAAGTGGGAATTAAACATTGAAAACTACTTTGCAAGGTATGGATGTAGTTAAATTCATTCTCTCTGGATAGTTTCAATTGAAAGGAATGAACTTTTCTAGCCAATACGAAGCACAACTAGTGGAAGTGAACGTCGTCTCGATGTCAATCGTCGAAAATGGTTTGTTATAAATATTTACTTAATTATCCAGCATGCGCACCCTCTTCGATGAGGGTTCGATATGCCTTTTTGACAAGGCACGTCCTGGCGTATGACAGAATTTTTGCTAAAAGCGACCTCATCCTTCCCTGTCCCCTCGAATTTCCTCTTCCGGTAGGACTCCTTCCTCAAGCGACCGATCATTACACCAAACCTCCCGGAAAATATGCCGTCGAGACGGTCTGGACATCTCTGATGACATTTCAAAAAAGTGCTTGCTGCGCCCCAACTAGGGGAAGGGAGAGGAGGGGGGGGGAGTACAGTGCGCGGAAAATGGGAAAATTCATTCTCCCTGAAATCCTCCCAGACGAAGTGCGACTTCCCTTCCATCCAAATGCGACTAACCTGACATCCCCCGCTGGGATCCCATTTATACGACTCGTGCACTATTAGAACACTAAGAGATGCTTGCTTACTGGCATGGCATTCGTAGGCAAATTTGCTGTCAAGAGCAGGGTACGTCCTGTAGCTGAGGAAAATGGCCACGCCAGTACGACCCCCCCCGCCCTCTCCAACGCGAATTTGTGAAATCATTTCTCATGCCGATGAGGCCCTGGAGCCTGAAAAAAGCAGCTGGACAAGCAAAAAAAAAATAAAATTCAGTTGAAGACGAAGGAAGCGTCATAAAAAACCATATGAACAAATAATCTAAATAAAAATGAGATCAGAACTCTACTCACCTACTTTTTTTTTTTTTTTTCATGTTCCTTCACGAACTCATTGACCATGTCGATGAGTTCGTGAAGGCACTCGAAAAAAAATTCATGGGATCAACTTGAAACAGCACAATGCACACATAAAAGTTATTCAAGCACGATAAAAACATGCATAGATTGAAATACTAGCATATAGTAAGAAGATAAGCTGGGCCGGAACATACAAAACCTTGCCTCCAAGCCAGGTAGTGAGGTGGAAAACGCGCTCTATGCAAGTGCAGTACCGCCGCTGCAGCACCAAGCAACAGCGGTTGCAGACCACCTACCGGATCACCCTACCGTACAATTGGAAACCGGGTTATGACCGCTGGAACGATGAAACTTAAAAATCCCAACGAATCCCCAGCGCGGATCCTCCCGAGTTCAAAAAGATCAGGGTAGAATTGAATGGCAGTTATATGCTTTAGGGCGAGTTTCTTGAAGGACGTCTTCTTTCATTCTCAATATTTCTTATCTGAGTGTGTAACAACAATGTGAAACTCCAAAAGTTTATTCCAAAAGACTCAAAAGACTCAAAAGAAGTGAAAGTCTTTTGAGTCTTTCACTTCTTTTGAGTCTTTTGAAATAAACTTTTCAAATATACTAGAATATAATAATACTTTCCAAATATACCTAGACTTTCACTTCTTTTGAGTCTTTTGAGTCTTTTGGAATAAACTTTTGGAGTTTCACATTGTTGTTGTTCACATCAGATAGAAATGAGACTCCGGCGAACAGCCACCATACTCTCATATTTGTAACAGTCTACAGTATATTTGGAAGTAGAAGATGGATTCGCGCTCCCCAGACTTCGCCAAAGACCCCTAAAAATTCAGTGCCTACAAAATTAGACACTGGGGACACATCGTGGGAAATTCGCAGCAACTCGAAAAGTCCCTTCCTAAAACTCTCTTCCCTAACCTATACAGGAAATTCGTGTAGGTGGTCACAAACCAGCGTATAGTTATGTAAAGCACATATTTACACCACCGTCCCCGACCCTCCCTCTGACCCTGCGAGCTCAAATCAGCTACTGTGATAGCGTTGGCATTCCGAGCTGGAAAGCATCGCTCTTGGACAACTGAAATGGTAAAAAAGTGGGAATTAAACATTGAAAACTACTTTGCAAGGTATGGATGTAGTTAAATTCATTCTCTCTGGATAGTTTCAATTGAAAGGAATGAACTTTTCTAGCCAATACGAAGCACAACTAGTGGAAGTGAACGTCGTCTCGATGTCAATCGTCGAAAATGGTTTGTTATAAATCTTTACTTAATTATCCAGCATGCGCACCCTCTTCGATGAGGGTTCGATATGCCTTTTTGACAAGGCACGTCCTGGCGTATGACAGAATTTTTGCTAAAAGCGACCTCATCCTTCCCTGTCCCCTCGAATTTCCTCTTCCGGTAGGACTCCTTCCTCAAGCGACCGATCATTACACCAAACCTCCCGGAAAATATGCCGTCGAGACGGTCTGGACATCTCTGATGACATTTCAAAAAAGTGCTTGCTGCGCCGCCAACTGGGGGAAGGGAGGAGGGGGGGGGGAGTACAGTGCGCGGAAAATGGAAAAATTCAGTCTCCCTGAAATCCTCCCAGACGAAGTGCGACTTCCCTTCCACTGGCCAAATGCGACTCCCCTGTTGACATCCCCCGCTGGGGATCCCCATTATACGACGTGAACTATTAGAGACAACTAAGGAAAGCTTGCTTACTGGCATGGCATTTGTAGGCAAAGTTGCTGTCAAGAGCAGGGTACGTCCTGTCGCTGAGGAAAAATGGCCACGTCAGTACGAGTCCCCCTACCCCCTCCGACGCAAATTTGTGCATTTCTCGTGGCCATGGAGCCTAAAAAAGCAGCTGGACAAGCAAAAAAATAAAATTCAATTGAAGACGAAGGAAGCGTCATAAAAAACCATATGAACAAATAATCTAAATAAAAATGAGATCAGAACTCTACTCACCTACTTTTTTCTTTTTTTTCATGTTCCTTCACGAACTCATGACCATGGTCGATGAGTTCGTGAAGGTACTCGAAAAAAATTCATGGGATCAACTTGAACAGCACAATGCACACATAAAAGTTATTCAAGCACGATAAAAACATGCATAGATTGAAATACTACATAAGTAAGAAGATAAAACTGGGGAACATACAAAACCTTACCTCCAAGCCAGGTAGTGAGGTGGAAAACGCGCTCTATGCAAGTACAGTACCGCGGCTGCAGCACCAAGCAACAGCGGTTGCAGCACGCGACTGGGTACACCCTACCCTACATTGGAACGCGTTATGGCCGCTTGAACGATGAAAACTTAAAAATCCCCAACGAATCCCCAGCGCGGATCCTCCCGAGTTTGAAAAGATCAGGGTAGAATTGAATGGCAGGTATATACTTTAGGGCGAGTTCTTGAAGGACGTCTTCTTTCATTCTCAATATTTCGTAACAGTCTAGGTATATTTGGAAAGTAGAGGATTTGCGCTTCCCAGACTTTGCCAAAGACCCCTAAAAGTTCAGTGGCTCCAAAATTGGCGCACTGGGGACACATCGTGGGAAATTTGCAGCAACTTGAAAAGTCTCTTCCCCAAACCTATTATAGGAAATTCGTTAGGTTGTCACAACAGGTATGTAATGCACATTCTCACGTCGATATCTGGAGCGGGATCGGCTTCATCTAAACAAAAGATATTTCAACATCTACAAAATTTTTGTCAT